ATTGTATTAAATTAAATTATATTTTTATTTAAATATTTTATTATAAATTTGGTAATAATAAATGCTATGAAAAAAAACTAATATTAAACAGCAATGAACAATAATTTGACAACATTTATTCATCTTGGTTCATGTTAATCTCAATTTCAAGTTTTATGTAAATATTGCATTTATGTTAATATATTTTATATTATTTAAATATTAGAACATTTAAATAATAAAATATTATATTAAATATTTTAAAATGTTTGTGTCATCTTTAAAATATTGTATTAAAATTTATAAATAATAAATGGCGTAAAAAAAACTGTTCATGATATCTAATGTTAAATAGTAATGGACAAAATATTTACAGCATTTATTCATCTCGGTTCATGTTATTTCAAATACCAATACATTTTTAACATTTCAATTTAAATATAAATAATTAAATGTATTTGTTATTTATATATTATTTAAATATTATAACATTTAAATACTACAATTAATAATATGTAATATTAAACATTTTTGTACTTACATATTTTATTGTATATTTATCAATAATAAGTGCTGTAAAAAACTGTTTATGATATCTAATGTTAAACAGTAGTGAACAATAATTTTACAGCATTGTTCAAGTTACTTCAGATACTAATGCATTTTTTACCTTCATATGTGTAACTGTGTGTCTACACAAGGATAAATTAAGGATAAAAACTGGCATGGTATTTAAACATGGGATGATTGAATAAGACTACCTCTTCCCTGGCAGTGTTAGTGTTTGGTTCTTTCTCACTGATTGACAGGCCTGTAAGTCTTTATTTATTTATTTAGTTTTACCCAGAATGAGATTCTACCATTGCATATTTCCCCTGCCGTATCTACAGAGGTAATGACCTTCCACAAAAGGCTTTTAACAGGTTCACTTCTTCAAGGTCCCGGTGTGATTCTATTGTTTGAAGACCTTCAGTCAGTAGTAAACACTACTGAGCAAACACTAGTTCAGTCAGTGCCAACAAGACAAGCTGTCAGTGAAAGTCGAGCAGGCAAAGTGCCACTGGAAGTGCATGAAGCCATGTGGATGGTGGGGAATTGATTGCAAACAATTGCTTGTACAAATTACACAAGATTGCAGGGCGTCTTTAGAGTACCGGCACATTAAAAAGTGATTCAGGGAGCCTCTGGACAGTCTGATGAGTTATCACTGAGCTGGCTCCCAGCCACTCGACGAGCGCTCACCACTGGACTCAGACCGTGTTGAGCTGCCTCGTCGACAGACATCCCTCAGTCTCGAAACTACCGGTACGAAGGGTAGCCAGTTATAAAACACGTTTAAAGCTTGCCAATTGGCCAGGCAGTAAATTGAGACGTCCGTCAGAGTGAAAAAGCGGTGTGAGATGGGTTTGACTGAAGTAGTCTCGCGTAAAACGCTTCAACTTGTTTACTGTGGACAGAAGGTTGTTGCCGGCGTTCTCACCCTATTTTCAGCCCACCTCTCTGGGAATGCTGCTATTCAAACAACTCTTTTCCCTTTCTTTCGTCTTTTAATAGCTTTTCTCTGCCGCATTTGAAAAATTGAGCGAGACACCTCTGCAAATCGGTGGCGCGAACTGTTGTTGTTGTCTTGTTTCGCTCTCAGAAAGCTGAATCTCTCATGTCTCCATTGTGCCAGATACAGGTCCCCCATTTGATCGAAACCTTGAGACGTCTTGCCGGTGGCAGGATTTCAGCATCAAAGAAGCAGACTGAGCTTTGGCGTCACACTCGAGGCCCTCGAGTAGCAAGAACGTGGGCCAAACCCAACAATGAGCTCTGCTGATAGCATCAGCGTTGGGTTTGAAAACGAGACAACAAACAGATAAACAGAGCATTGCGTAGGGTGAGATTAGGACTTAACGGAGCTGATCCTACGGCGCCGGCAACTCAAGCCGCTTGCAAGATGCATGCGCTCATGATGCAAACAAAGCACTCAGGGAGGCTGAATGAAGTGACTCGGCTCAAAAGCAGGCGTTTTTGTGAGGGGAATAAAGATATGTTCGAGGGGGGTGCCAAAACTATGCTCTTGTTACAGAAGTCGACGCATCCCCCTGGGTTATGCCGCCGATCAATTCGACAACGCTTGCTGTGACTGGAGTACTATAAAAAGAGGGCGTTATCTGCACTGTCACTCAAAGTTGAGCGGTGGGGGGATTTACTGAGAAGCACCTGGCAGTCATGCCGCCAAGCGAGAGCCCATCTCGTACTTCCTTTTCAACCATTAAATCCAGCCGCTGTTTTACAGATCGCTTCTGTGCTCGGCTTCTCAAGCGTCAGTCGAAGGTGTGAAAAAAAACTGAACAAAACCTTGAACGCAGCCACGTGAATTATTCATAGGTGTAATAAATTGGCCCAGCTGTAATCGTTTGGGAAACAATTTCTCTGTCAGAAAGCGAAGGCTGATAGCCTCTCTCTTGCATTTGGCTCGACGACCTTTTCAGTGTTCACGACCGTGAGTCGGGCTGTCAGTCATTTGCCTGCTCATGAAAAGATATGATTATTTCTGTTTCTTGGCCATTTACCCCATGTGAAGGATAGAGTGAGTAAAAGCTGTCGCGTTGTGAAGGGTCTTCGGATATTGCGGAGTTAATTTCCTCCGTATGGAATCATTAGATGAAACGGGCGCCATATTTCTGTTTGCCGGTATTTGTCATTCTCCGCTTAATAACGTAAAGCATTAAGGATACAGGGACGTGGGAAATGGAATGTGGCAGGAAACAGGTCAGGAAAATCATAAATGCATTACAAATGGTGCTTCTATCCAGATTTCGGAAGATTGCAGACTGACGCAGTCGTATACAGTACTGTAGTCCATAATCTACCTCATTAATTATCTGTCGTTCCACTGGAATCTTCCGAAAGAACATTGTGATAAGGATGTAGGCATCCCAGCAGCTATATAATTTACTCATAGCTCCAAAAAGCACCACACATCTTGCACGGAGCACAACGTGTAAGATAACGCGCCTTTATTCCCAGGCAAAAATTCATCTGTGGCCAGAACATACATCAGAGAAGTAACTTCTATCTGTCGTTCTCTTTCCTCCTGTTCTCCTTTTGGGCTATTTAGATAACAAGTACGCTCCTGCTGTGAGCCTCAATGGTTTTATCTTCATCCTGGGAGGAGCCTACGCCCGAGCCACCACTATCTACGACCCACACAAGGGCAACATCAAAGCCGGCCCCAACATGAATCACTCCAGGCAGTTCTGCAGGTTGGTCTAATGAACAGTAGATTGCGCTACACGATGCAATAAACGATGTTCCACATTACAAATGGTCTCTTGTTCTTCCCCCAGTGCGGCGATCCTAGACGGCAAGATCTATGCAGCGGGAGGGATCGTAAGCAGCGAGGGACCGGCGCTGGGCAACATGGAGACCTTCGACCCTTGCACGAACACGTGGACGCTGCTGCAGAATCTGCCGTGTCCGCTTTTCAGACACGGATGCGTGGTTATAAAGAAGTACATTCAGAGCGGCTGACGATGTGCTCGACTCTGGACTTCTCTAATGTCACGAACTGGCCTAAACCAGCCCATCGAGCTCCAACCAGCCAACCTGGGTGGAACACGGTCGGACCGTTGCAGTTAGCAAGGGATCCGTAGCGTAGCTCCCCCTCAGGTGTCGTGCCATTGGAACTGTATTCTAGGTCAGCCAAATGCATTATTTTTTAGTTGATGTTTTTCTCCCTCATGTTTCTTTGATAAGGTTCCCATCAAATCTCGTTTTTCATTGGTAGTCATGAGAATATGGGATTGTGTATCATGATCAGTTTCATCTTGAAGGGACTTCCGCAAGAAGCCAAAGGAAGACTATGCTAGTCATGTAGCCCTCCAGCGAGGGTCAGCGCTACAGAGAGCCGGGATTGAATGAAGGCCCTCCTGAACTCCAAAGCACAAAAATACCAGAACCTGTGATGCCCAGAGGAGTTTCATTTCATTTTGTTCTGTGTAAATCATTCCACCTTTTCTTTGTGGGTTTTATCCTCGTGTTTTATTCCAATCCACGACCCTGCAGCTGTGGCAGAATAAAGATGGAGCAAGATGGAAGGAGAAACTTTGTATTATAGGGAAGATATGTATATTTTAAAAACTAATGAAGATTGTGTATAAATGTTTTTAGAGAAAAAAAAAAATCAATGGATTGGACAATGTCTGTAAATCTGTATCCTACCGGAACAATTTACGTTATTAATGCTGAATTACATATCCAGAATTCTAAAGCAACAAGTTGACTGTTTATTTACATTTCACTCTTTTGCATGATGTTCTCACAACTTGGTCATAAGTTGTCATTTTTGGCTAACCTGTAAGGATTTTTACTTATGAAGCGCAATTTCTTTCTGAGTAAATGTCTATTTATTAAAGTTAGTTCTGTATTTTCCATAACATTAAAAAAAATGACGCCAGTAAATATTTGGAGCAACTTTAGAGGTGTAGTGGCAAAGCTGAATACTTTTATAAGTCAACAAATGTAAGTTATTTGTGATTGAAAATGTGCTTTTTTTTATTGGTCAATCTTACACTCATCCAGAACCGTGTGCTATATGCCATTTAAATTTTCCAATTTATGAACGCAGCATACCATCCAAAATGTGCCATAACCCTTATTACAACTCAAGACAGGACTCAGATTGAAATTGAAACACTAGAACGACTTCAATTTGCACCTTTTATTCAAGTATATCACAGCAGTTTATTTCAGAAATTACAGTAAATATATCATTTCACAAAAGGACTGCAGGGAAGGACAGAACAGTGTGTGGTTTTGATTTGTAGTAGTAAAAATAAAAGGGACAGAAATTCTGGTATTACGCAAAAACAAAATTCCCTCAACCTTGTAACTCATTAAGGGAAAAATATCTACTGATTAAATGGGGATTAACTAAAACCATCGGTTGCCAAAAAAAAAAATCTCCAACATTGAGCACCAACTTGAGAAACACATGGACTTATTACACCAAAAACAAAGGAGTTTAGTGGGTGGGTCTTATTTACCTACTTAAAGCAAAATGCTATTGTTCTATGGACTTCCTACCATCAGTCAAATAATCTGAATTAGACTCTGGTCAACTAAAGGAAATTAACTTTAACTTTTAGTCAAAAATATAGAACAATACCGACTTTCATGTCCACGTTGTAACATTTTTAATGCCGGATTTAGGAGTTAATTTTCTAAAAAATATATTAATGGTGCTTCTAAATGTGAAATTTCATTTCCACGTTACGTACTGACCACATTACATACTGTTTGATTCAGGGCCAATTACATTTTGCTATCAATTAGCCATAGGGTATGTCTTGTGAACTGGCATCAACTAAAGCTAATTTTTCCCCAGATAAATTTGTAAGAACAAATTGATCAGCATTACAGTAGTTTCTACAACACTACACCAGTTAAGCATGTTGATGGTACAACAGGTGACGAAGAGGGACCCGAAAATGCACATTAGCCGCATGAACCTCCCCCTCATCCTCTACAATAATATTTAAAAATTAAAAAGCATCATAGCCACCATCATCTCCACCCTTATGGAATAAATATTAATGTAGCAGAGACCTGAGACCAGTAAACCCAGTTTCTGAACGTCGTGCAACACCTGCTACAAAAATGTGCTACATTGTGTCTCGGCGCAAATTTCATGTAACAACTTTTCCAATTAGTTTCGGTTGAACAAAATGTTGAACATATGACGACTTTTTTTAATAATTTTATAAAGATCAAATGGACAGGCAATAGCATGAAGGAAAATGCGACTGTGAATTCAGAAACGATCATGAAATGGACTGAAGAAACACAAACATGGCCAATAAAATGTAAATCATGGGATGCACGTAGAAAAACTGAACTATACAGTAAATAACATTTCAGCTATATTACAATGCCATTTCTTTTCTCGGCTCAAACGCAGAACAACCCAAAAAACGAAATATAATGCAAAAATGCGAACAAAGCAGAGGATTACTGCAGCAGCCACATGACGCACTCATGTCGGAGAGGTGATCCAGTACCTTAGCTTGAATTTCTGAAGGGCGCAGTGATATTGCAGAGGTCAACAAATACGGTTTGTCAGTAAACAGGTCATTACTTTTGTCTCTTCGCATGAAAACAACTTGCTGAGGTAGCTGTGGTTCTGTCTCTCACACGCACTGCAGTAGTCCAAAGCTAACAGCTAACTCCTAGTTTGTTTGTTTGTTTTTTCCTTTCTTTTGCATATGTCTTAAAAAGTGTTATTTTCCTCTTTTCCTGTTTTTATAGCACCGAATCCTAGACAAGGTCACAAGGACTCTTGCACTTGGATCAACGTTCTTTATAAAGCTGAGAGTTAACAAAAGTTGAGAGGGAGAACTCGGTTAATGCTACTTACACAATGCCAAAATTGACGGAAATCAAGTTATTAATGCGACAGCTAATATTAGATCGCACAAGTTAACACAATGGAAAGGTCACACGGAAAATAAAAAAATAACAAAAATACAGTTATGCTTTATGTTAAAAAATTCAGCACTGCCTAGACTGCCATTTTAACGTCAACGCTTACATACCAAAACACTGTTATTTTTACTCCAATATGTGATGTTACAATAAAAATGGATGGCAAAAGAAAGCCACAATGTATGACAGAGCAACGTGACTCTCAAACCATGCAGATGTTGCTTGTTGACTTGAGAAGAGATTGGCAAACATACCCCACATTTTTATTGGTTTGTAGCCCTGTGGCTTGTCCATAAACATTGATAGTCAATATTCAGCTATGTTTTTCAGCCTATCTCAAAGGTTAAGGCACATGCTAGGCAGTGCAATCTCCAGATATCTACTCGTAAATCCAGTTATACCAGAAAAAAAGCCCAAAAATTAAAGTAAAAAAAAAGCCCATGAACTATTCCAAGGGGGGAAATATGCGATGGGTCTAAAATAATACCATTTCTCCCCAAAAGATCTATTTTAATCAAAATCTGTCCGCTTATTTTTGTTGGTTTCTACAAATAGTATAGTCTAAATAAGAGAACACAGTCTCATTTGTCACAAGGAAAAGTTGGTTTACAATACAGAATCCTTGCAAATCTTACAATTAACATCCAGTAGAAAACAACTCTAGACGTCCCTACAAAATGTGTTGTTTTTTTTCCAGCAAGAGTATCTCTATGTGGCTAAAAAGTGTTGATAATCCCAGTGGTGACAAGGTGTGACATCAGGGTGGATGTAGAAAGAGGGCGATGTAGTTTATTTCCACAGTAAACGACCAGCTGACTCGAGCTGTAGGGCATCACACCATCCATATACAGTTTGCCACTGCTGGTGAGAATCTGTGTTTATGTGTGTGTGTTTGCTTCCAGTAGACGGAGGCTGAGGTTGCTTTGTGACATCACACAATCTTTTATTATGTAGTTTGTTTGTGTTTTGTTTGCTTATTTATGAGAACAAGGAGCAGCAGACGAAAAAAAAAGAAGAAAAAACAATAGCACCCAATAGCACCAAGAACGATCAATTGGCATGTAAGCAAGTACAAAAACGAAACGATTAAAAAGGAAACCTCCAGGAGTTTTTGTGTTTGGTTCTGTTTCAGGTACCTGAGATGATAGCACCAAGGTCGCCTCTGTAAGTCTTTGTTTCTAATGTCTGCACCTTTTTTTCCCTTCCTGCTGTTATTTGAGACCGAGGCGTCCAGACCTGCTTTGCGTTAAGGACTTGGCTCAGAACGCCGGCCTCTCCCTCTTGTATCAAAAGACTCTCCGATCACGTTTCTCTCTGAAAGCCCTCTATTCATCACAGGAATGTTTTGAAATGTTCAACTTCTCCATCGCCTGCAAATCAAAAGACAGAAAACCGCATTGTTAATAGCATATTTTGTTAAATGTGGACCCAATCAAACATTATCACATGGTTATTTTATACACCTGTCTTTATATACCATTTTATTGGATGTGTTTTGCAAATGAAACCCAGAAGAACTTCAAACAAAGCTTTGAAGGCCATTATTTGGATTAGATTGGATTTTATCTTAAATATCAGCTTAAATATAAAAAATCTTTCATTTTCTATACACTACAGTTCAAAAGTTTGTGGCCAGTAAGATTTTGTAATGTTTTTGAAAAGTCTCTTATGATCACCAAGGCTGCACTTGAGTGTCACATGATCCTTCAGAAATCATTCTCAATTTCTTATCAATGTTGAAAACTTTATATTTTTGTGGAAACCCTGATAATTCTTTTTTTTTTGCAATAATTATAGAAAGTTCAAAAGAACAGCATTTATTTGAAATAGAAGAACATATATATTTATTATATTAAAAATGTACGTACGTATGTATATATATATATATATATATATATATATGAAAAATTATGCCGCTATGTCACGCCGATAAGAGGAATAGGTTAACTCACATGTGCTCAGGGTGTGCTAGCAATTAGATCACGTCAGCAGTGTGGCTCATTCATGAATCAAAGTTTTGCCTGAATGGTGATTAGATTCACTGTTTTGGATCGCTGAATTTAAACTGAGAAAGCACAAAGAATGACGCGTTCGGTGTATGATAGAGTAAACAGTAATAGCACGTGCAGTGGCAGCAGTGACAGCCTCCCCCAGGTCCTAAAGCCTGCTTAAGTGAGTTTTAATTCCGTAGGGAGCGCTGTTGGCCTACTTCTAACAAAATGAAAGCAAAATACACAAATAATATTTAGACTGTGTTTCTCATTAAATAAAGCAGTAATTGATGCCATAAAATCATGAGTATGTTTTGATTTAAAGGTCAGAAGCTATAGCTTACAT